TGATAACGTTGACGAGGAACATTTGATGGAGACAGAAGTTGTTCTGACGAGTCTCACTGACGTTAAGGAGCATGAATGTGACGAGGCAGACGGATTGATTGATTGATTGATTGATTGATTGATTGATTGGTGGACTGATTGATTGATTGATTGGTGGACTGATTGATTGATTAGTGGACTGATTGATTGATTGTTGGACTGATTGATTGATTGATTGATTGATTGGTGGATTGATTGATTGATTGATTGGTGGACTGATTGATTGATTGATTGATTGATTGGTGGACTGATTAATTGGTGGACTGATTGATTGGTGGACTGATTGATTGGTGGACTGATTGATTGGTGGACTGATTGATTGATGGACTGATTGATTGATTGATTGATGGACTGATTGATTGATTGATTGATTGATTGATTGGTGGATTGATCGATTGATTGATTGGTGGATTGATTGATTGATTGATTGATTGATTGATTGATTGATTGATTGATTGATTAATTGATTGGTGGACTGATTAATTGGTGGACTGATTGATTGGTGGACTGATTGATTGATTGGTGGACTGATTGATTGATTGGTGGACTGATTGATTGATTGGTGGACTGATTGATTGATTGGTGGATTGATTGATGGACTGATTGATTGATTGATGGACTGATTGATTGATTGATTGATTGGTGGATTGATCGATTGATTGATTGGTGGATTGATCGATTGATTGATAGGTGGACTGATTGATTGATTGATGGACTGATGGACTGCGTTTGTGTGCAGGTCGGGTTCTGGCTTCAGTCCTTCTGATACCGTGGCCATCATGTTCTGCTCAACACACAAGTCTCTGACTCTGGGTAGGTCCAGCTCCTGGACCTGAGTCTCTGTGGGGGAGAAGCTCAGCGTCACTGGATCATGATACATGTGTATAAACCCTACAGGTGTAGCAGAGAAGGTCTCCAGCAGGTCCAGCTTCCACCCAGTCATCATGATAATAAGAATAGTCAGCAGATTCACTGTTCAGACTTGATGGGTTGACTCGTGTGTGTGTGTGTGTGTGTGTGTGTGTGTGTGTGTGTGTGTGTGTGTGTGTAGGCATCCCGATGCTGAAGATCGTGTTTGAGGGCTACCAGCATCTCTCTCTGATCTCCGTTCCTCTGCTGATCTACCATCCAGCTCAGATCTTGCTGGGATCCATCCTGGTTCCTACGATCAGAGGCTGGATGAGCAGCAGACACAAGGTACGCAACCTCTGTACAACCTCTAGAAAACCTCTACACAACCTCTGTACAACATCTAGAAAACCTCTACATAACCTCCAGACAACCTCTACACAACCTCCAGACAACCTCTACACAGTCTCTGTACAACCTCTAGAAAACCTCTACACAACCTCTGTACAACATCTAGAAAACCTCTACATAACCTCCAGACAACCTCTACACAACCTCTACACAACCTCCAGACAACCTCTACACAACCTCCAGACAACCTCTACACAACCTCTGTACAGCCTCTAGATAGCAAGTACATAACCTCTGGACAACGTCTAGACAACCTGTAGACAACGTCCTCAGTGTCCATGTCCAGAACTAACAGCTGCTTTCTTCCTCCAGTCCAGTCTGTTGTTGAGGTGAATCCAGTTGTTCTGAGTGAGTAGAAACCTGCTGGACCTCTGGACTCATTATTAATGATAATAATAATTATTGTATTAATTACTAGTGTTAATCAGATGGTGTGATAAATGAACAGACTGATTACAATCACGTTAATAATTCATGAAGCTTGTATTTTATTAAAACGAGTTAAATTAGAGAAAACTGGCGTCAGACCAAAGACAGAAAACAAACGTGTGACCCATTCATCAGCTCTTGTCACTTCTCTTCCTGTAATGCTGATCCAATGCGTTAAAGTGATGCTTTGTTTCATAATTCTGATTTCTGAAGACTTTATACCACAACATGTCACTAAAATTCATTTATTAACGTCCCACCTGTTGATCACAGTACATTCATTATTTATTATTATTAATGATGAATAATTAGCACATCCTTTTGACTCTTTATTCTCATAATCCAGGTTATTTTTAATCTCAGTGATCTTTTCCTTTTGATGATCAACGTCATCATTTAGATTTTTTTAATATCATAATAATAATGAATCACAGTCATTTTTCAGCTGATTTAAATGAACTTTCATGTTTGTCTCATGTCCAGCTTTACTTTGTATAAATGAACATGTGATGGTGAAGACCCGTTTACAGACTCGTTAGCGCCCCGTGTTCGTCTACAGCTTGATTTCATAGTCCAGGTGTCTAATGATGACTGAACCAGCCAGCAGAGGAACAAACCCCTTGTTTTAGTTGTACTGATGTCGGTCCTGAGTGCAGCAGCGCCTCCTGCTGGCAGAAATCAGGCTCACTGATACACTCACTTATTGGTGATAAGATTCTCCTTTTAATGAATTAAACAAGCAGCTTCTCCTCGTTACCTCGGCGCAGTGGACCGTCTGAACCCTGTAACAGCTCCTGGTTGTTTTAAGTCCTCGAGCTTCATGTTTCAGCATCAAGTCCTGCAGCTGTGTGGAACCGGAACCACATGAAGGAGGAGACAGAACTCGGAGACTCGGTCAGAACGATGGAGACCAGAGACAAGAGATGCTTCTGTAGTGATTTATTTATTTCAACTATTTACAGTTTTAATTAGTTTCATCCTCGTCTCCTGTCGGTGGAAACGGTTCACCTGAAAACCTTTCACAGCTGAGTCGTGGCTTCACCTGTGTGCTGAGGAGGGAAGAACCTGGTTGTTCCACAGAACCTTGTCAGAGCAGAAGAAGTTGTATCAGGATGTGAAGCTCAGCTCTGGAACCAACATGTCACATCTCACAGACCGTCATGGAACAGCTGTTTGTCTGTTTCTACTGTTTCCGGCTGATAAATGGAGTCATTAGTCGTTTATGTTCTTTATGCTTGAGGATAACGGGCCGACCCAACACAGCGGCTGCTTTCAGGGTTCAGACGGTGAAACGCTGCATTTACTAAATACTCCCAGTTTAATCTGACGGACACACAGAGCGCCCAGTGTTCAGTCCGTCATCGTTCTGCTGTTGACTGGTTCATCCCCTGATGATGATGGTGGTGGTGGTGATGAAGGTTATGATGATGAAGGTGATGGTGGTGGTGATGAAGGTGACGGTGTGTTTAATCACCAGACTTGCCGTCAAATGTGTCGGCCCGGTTCTGCAGCCTGACGGTGCTCGTGTTGTGTGTCCAGGCGGTGAAGCTGTCGGCTCTTCAGCCCGTCTGACGATGAAGAACCAGAGCCAGAACTGGATGTTGCTGAAGCGGATCGCGGCGGAGGGATACATCAGTGCCTTATTACAACCAACAGAGACCTCAGCGTGGCGGAGAGGACGAGGATCACCTCCACCTCTGCTATGAAGAGAAACTCGTATTGCCATCATATATACTGTTTTATATTTCAAAGAAGCACATGTTTTATTTTTATATGGAATATCCTGAAAATTGCTACAGAATGAGGACGGCTGTGTTTTCTAGTTTTGCTCTGAGCTCTGTGGCCTGTTACTGGGAGCTCTGGGACCATCTCCTTCCTGTCTTCTTATTTTTCTACTCTGACTGTCTGTTACTGCCAGAAAGTGAAGTTTGTTACGTTATCGTGTTATTCGCTGTGTTGTCCGACGTTAACATGTTGAATAATACGAGCTGTTGGGTTCGTGACCTCCTGAAATAACTCGTGTCTGTAGAAAGAGTCGCGAGCTGAAAGATTCTCTGTCCAACAGGCCGGCAGCAGGAAGTCGGACCAACAGGCAGCCCGTTCACCGGATCTCAGTGTTTTACTACAACTCCTTTGTAGCGTTAGTCGTAGATTTTCTGGTTTATGTTCTTGTCTCCATCAGATTCCTCTCAACAGCATTCACTGTTTGGGTTCTAACCGGTCCACAAGGGCATTTTTAACTTGGACCAAGAGGCAGCACAGAGAAAAGTCTGAAACATTCAGTAACCAGCTAAATGTACGTCTGTACGCAGACGATGCTATATTATACACATTAGCATGTTACACAAACCAAAGTCGGGTTCAAATGCATCATCAGAACCAAATGTACGTCTGTACGCAGACGACACTCTGTTCTCAGTAAGTTCTGTCGTTTCTTATTCCGCCAACCAAAGTCCGGTTTAAAGACATAGATGTTCTGTAAACATTCTTGCTGTTGTGATCCGACAGGATTTTTGCTGAAACTATCTGATCTGCTGGAACATGATTACCATATTCAGAGGCGTGACAGTGAATGCATCGTCATCACAACCACTGACAGACTGTTATTATCCCGACCAGAACCACAGTATTTCCTCTATGGACCAAACGGACTTTGCTCAGGGGCACTCAGGCAGCATCTCTGTTGTTTCCTGTTTCACGAGCAGCCTTACGTTCTGAGTCTGGACTCTGATGAAAGCCCAACCTGCTCCCGGTCAGCAGACACCTGGAGGTTCATCTCTGGGCAGCTAGCTTTAGCTTGTAGCACAGATGACTGTAGCAGCCTCCTGAACAGCCGCTGCTGGTTGTAGCGCTGCTGGTTGTGTTGTTGGAGTGAAGTCCAGCCTGTGAGCCGCTGATCTGCTCTCAGTAACCTGGTGTCAGGGAAAGTTCTACATCCACAGCTTCCAGGATGAATCCATTATTTTAGGTGTTAGGAGGAACAGACGACCTACAGCACCCTGTGGTTTCCTGTCTGGGTCTCGTTTATTTACCGTTTACTGGGCTAACATCATGTCACAGAGGTGGTCAGTGTCACTGCGTTTAGTTCAAACACAGCTCAGCCAACACAGCAGACGGAGGTGAAGCTTTGTCCATCTGAGACCTTCAGGGGCCTTCTGTTTGGCCGTAGTCATATACTCTGGATATTTAAAACGCTATCTGTGAAATGCTCTTTGAGATACATTTTCAGCAGTTTTTTTTTCACCCATTAACATTTGAGGCCCACCTACAAAGTGGGATCTGAAGATGATTAAATATCCCGTCCAGAACTTGGATCAGATGTTCTATCAGTAGTTTAGTTTTATTGGAGCAACATGTCAGACCTGCTCAACCACGTGTTGCAGTTCAGCCAAACTACCTTTTGTGACCCAGAGTTTCATATTAAAGTATTCTGTGTTTAGTTCTATATAATGGTAGCTACGTGTGGTTCAGGAAACATCTCCAGGTCACTTCTGCTGTCAGCCTTTTGTTGATATGAGTCCGAAGACGGAACTTTTCAAGATGTCTTCAATTTGTTTTCACATTTTCAACTCATCCATAATCAGATTATTGATCTGTTGTCCAACATGACAGGTTCTGGATCAGCGACATGATGAGAAACAACAGAGAACATTTCAGGTTTTTGTCTTTAAAAAATAATCCCATGAAATCATCTCTGAACGTATTTGATGAATCAAGTTCAAATTTCACAGATATCTTTGTAAATATCTGTAGTTTATGTAGACATGTGAGTCGTGTTTGTTCAGCTGGAGGTTCTGATGTTGTGAGTTGGAGGTTCTGATGTTGTGAGCTGCAGCCTCTGAGGTTTGACGGCTGCATAGTTTCAGACTTCAGCCACAGTTTAAACGCTGGACTAGTTAGAGCTGGTGACCTGGTTAGCAGACAGGGGACTGACTTTGAGTCCAGTATTCTCTCTTTCAGCTCTGTTTTGGTCTCCACCACCTTCTGAAGGAAATATTGGCTCTCGATCCTTTTTGGATTTATGTACTTATTAAATTTTAAATATATACGTAGAACAAATATTTACGTAGCATGAACAGAAAGCTAAAGGTGCGTTCACATCCCAACACCTGCAGTAGCAGAAACCTCCGTTTCACTCGACTGTTAACTGCTGGAGGCATAAAGTCCAACAGGTGGAGTTTAGTTACAAACAGTTTTAGTTACTAACCTCTGAAATGTTCAGCTTTAAGAACGTTAGACTGGTGATTGAACTGTGTCACCGTGTTGCAGAATCTTTAACTGATCCGATCGGTGAGTGGATCTGAACGTCATCAGGTCGTTACCTGAGAATGTACGGACTCTGTTACTGGGCGGTTTGGAGGCTGCAGCCATGTGATTGGTTGTCCAGGTGACGGTGGCGTTTACAGTCTTTACCTGTTTACAGTGTGATTGTTCTACCTGAGCTTTACGTACGTCACTGTGTGGGTCTGTTCTTGTGCTCGATGATTAAAAAATACAAGGAAATGAACACTGTTTTTTTTTTTTTTTCTGTGGCACACTGCCTCCCCTGCAGGGTGGCGCAGTGGTTAGCACCGTGGCCTCACAGCTAGAAGGTCGCCGGTTGGCGTCCTGGTGAGGACACCCGGGATCTTACTGCGTGGAGTCTCCATGTTCTCCCCGTGCAGCGTGGGTTCTCTCCGGGTTCTCCGGCTTCCTCCCACAGTCCAGAAACATGCTGAGGTTAATTGGTGATTGTAAATTGTCCGTAGGTGTGAATGTGAGTGTGCTTGGTTGTCTGTCTCTAAGTGTAGCCCTGTGATAGACTGGTGACCTGTCCAGGTGAACCTGCCTTCACCCTGAGTCAGCTGGGATAGACTCCGCCCCCCATGACCCTAGTGAGGATGAAGGTGTAGAGATGATGGATGGATGGACACTGCCTCTCTCTGGACAGGTACGGTAACAGCAGGGCCTTCAGTCAGCTTCTTAAGTGTTCAGCTGTTAGCAGCAAATGTTCTGGACGGCTCGTTGGATTGACTGTCATCCATCAGTAAACACCTGCAGTCAGTGTCCTGCTCCTGACGTCTTCATCAGCGCTCGTCCTCTGATGTGGAGGAAACCCTGTGTTTGTCGGCTCAGGAGCTCCTCTGACCCGATTCTTCTGGACAGACGGCTCTTCTGTCACTTCATTTGGAAGAAGCCTGGACGTCCTGCCGGCTCTGCGCCTTTGTGCTGCTTTGACCACAGAAACCAAACCAGAACAGCTGCAGTGGATGATGCTGGACTCAAGCTGATCATCAGTGATAACAACATGAGACAAGACAAGTGAATGTTGGTGATCAGCAGATGGACCTGTTTCACGTCAGGACAAAATCTGAGTGCAGTGATCTAAACATCAGTTACACGATCAGCATACAAATCCTTTATTTATTCAGTCTAAACGTGGCTCGCTGTCTTCACGCTGAGGCTCCTCCCCACGCTGTCATGCTGCAGACCAAACGTAGAACACAACGTGCACCTGACGGTTTGCTCATCGTGTTGCTAACTTCCTGTTTTCTGTCTGAAGGCAGACTGTAGCTTTAGTTTACTGAACATATCGGCAGAAAAACGTCCTGAGATTCAGAACGATCTGGCCAACAGTGTTTTCTTGAGCAGAAGTTCACAACCTATAAAACACTTGTCATGTGATGCAAGAAGCTTCAAACAGTGACGAAGCAGACGGTTGGATAAAGATCTAAAACTGTGACCTCCACAGTCTGACTGGTCTCAGTCAACATCAGGTTCAGCTCAAAGGTTGAGATGATTCATCCTCTGAGGATCATGAACATCCACAGTCAGTCTGACAGGTAAAGAAACTCAGGTCAGGTATATCTGCAAAAACACCTTTATTTCATTCATTTACTGTCTTCATGTTTATGCTTCAGGGTACTGTAAGGTAGCTTAGCTTAGAGGCGAACCAGAGAGACATGCTAAGCTAACTAGCTAGCACTAAACATATTGATATTGTATGAGTTTGTCTCCTGACCAGAGTTCTACCTTCAGACTGTGAATGTTCCAGAGGTCCAGGTCCTTCAAGTCCACAGAGGAGGGTCCAGATTGATCACCTTAATGGACTTTTTCCATCATTTCTGAGCCTCAGAACTTCATCAGTCCAGCAGATAGACACATGACATTTAGGAGGAAGAACACATCTGGGTTCTGCTAGAACCTGACACCAGATCATTTCTACATCCATCCAGGTGTCTCAGTCTGAACACTGGACCTGGTTCTGTTCAGCACCGTGTTTTTTTGTTTTACAGCCAGAAGCTAAAATGATGGAAAAAGTCCATTAAGGTGATCAATCTGGACCCTCCTCTGTGGACTTCAAGGCCCTGGACCTCTGGAACATTCACAGCCTGAAGGTAGAACTCTGCAGAGAGGTTCTGGTATCTGTCTGTGTTGTCAGTCTCGTTTCAGTCTCCAGGTGGCGCCAGTATGTCGTACTCTGCCAGCAGCACAAAGCTGTTCTCTCTGATTTTGCGGACCCGGACCAGATCTCCACATTCCTGGACCTGGATCATCCCCCTCTGTCCTCTGCCATACTCCCTCTCCCTGTCGTTAAGCGTCACCTCGGTCCGTTTGCTGCAGGCCTGCCGGTACATGTACCGAACCCCCACCACCAGAACCATGCCCAGCCCGGCCGAGCAGCCGAGCAGCATGCCCAGCTCCCAGGCACTGTGTCTGGGGATGATGTCCGGATACTTCCCCTCCTTGTCTGGAGCTCCGGACGGATTGGAGGGACGTTTGGGTTTTGTATCGGTTTCTGGAAGGTTTGGTTTCAACTCAGAACCAAGATTTGGCTTAAGGTTTGGATGAGGTTTGGGGTTTGGGTAAACAGCTGTTCTTAGTGTCGGAGGGTTGAGGCTGGACTCCGGTTCAGATGATGTAATGTGGTTCTGCATTAGTAACCTCTGACCTACTGTCAGTTCCTGGGAGGGAACCGGGGATGAGGAGGACGTGAAGGAGTTGTATAGAGATCGACGAGCCGGAGAAGGTCCTGGGTGAGGGGAGGTGACGGACCAGGTGACTGATGATGGTGAAAAGGAAGAAGATGTGGAGTTTGAAGAAGGAGGCAATATGGAAGAAGATCCCAAAGAAGCTGAAGAAGGAGTTGCCGAGTTGGTGGAAGAAGAAGGCAAGGTTGGATTTGTGACACGCTGGGAAGAGGAAGAAGTAGATAAAGGAAGCAGTGAAATCATCGGAGCCGGTGATGAATAGTTGGAGGAGGTTGGAGAAGATTTGGTCAAGGAGGAAGTTAAATGAGGAGGACTGGAGACTGGGGAAGGAGAAGGGAGGGCAGGAAGAGCTGCAGCTGTTTTAGGTTGATTCTTCATGAAGGAGGAGGAAGAACGGATGAACAATGTTGACCTGACGGACGGAGGCATCGATACCACTGGTCCAGGCGGATGTAGAGGAGCGATGGAGCTCAGCTGAGCAACAGAAGAGGAGAGCACAGACAAGGACGAGGATGAAGAGCTGAGGCTGGTAGATTCAGAAAGAGACGAAGGAGTGGCTGAAGAAGCAGAAGCAAAGATTGGATCCATGGTTGTGATCTCTGGTTGAGACCTAAGATGTTCCAGTGTGAAACCTCGGTTCGACCTGAGAGTGTTGAAAGGTCGGGGAGTTACTGGAGTTAGCTTCTGTCCAGGTTGAGACCACGGTTGGGGAGAAAAGATGGAAGCCTCAGATGGTATCTCAGACTGAAGCTTGTCTGTTTTAAGAAAGCTAACTTTGGTTTGAGTCTGAGTTGTAGTTTGTTGGTGAAAGCTGTCTGTAGATGGAGGCTGACTTGTGGATCCAGATGGAGTGTTTTGAGGCTGACGTAGAGGATGGAGGGACAGAAGGTGGTTCTGAGGAAGGGATGAAGCTCTGTTGGACTGTAGGATGGGAGATTCAGACGGCAGGGCAGGGTTTGAAGAAGTTCCAGACTGAGAATGGGTCTTGGATGAAGATGTTTGGGGGAACAGAAAGGTTGGACTGGTAACAGTTTGGAGAACAAGTTTGTATGTAGAACCCTGAAACTGGAGAGGCTTTGGTGAAGAAGTTTGGAGGTGAAGATTGGTAGACTGGCTCACTGTTTCTGCTCTGATTGAATTTGTTTGGGACTCAGTTGGACCTTTCCGGGTCTGTGCAGAACTTTGTTTCTGAGTTGGTCCTCTTGGATTCTCAGAAGTGGATCTCTGGGTGTTTGTATTGGGTAAAGGTACAGCTAAGGGGGTGGTTTCGGTGGGTAGGTGTAGATCTTTGCTCTCCGTCAGATGAATGGGGGCAGCAGGGCTCTCTGAAGTCTGCTCTGTGGTGTCTGTTGAAACTGTGGTGGCAGCATCCAAACCTCCAGCCTTAGCTGAGGAGAAAGCTGTGAAAGAAGGGAAGCTCCTGGAGTCCTCGGGTTGAGTATCGGGGTCAAAGCCTTCAGCTGCACGTGGAGAAGGTCCTGAAGGGGCATCAGTGTCATTCTGAAGAGGTCCTAAAGCCGTAGCGTTGTTCCTCCCACTGATCACCTGATTGGTCGGAGAGGCAGCTCTGAGGGAAGTCACAGAGCTGCTCGTCTCCATCGCCGGATCGGGGACTTCTGTCAGGGTGTCCAGAGGTTTGTAGATCTGAGTTCCTCTGATTGTTCCTGTGGAGGGTCTTGCAGAGGAACCAGCTGTGTTGTGCTGGTTTGATGCTCTGAGAGCTGCAACAAGGTGAGAACAGACCAGGTTAGTGATGATGGAGTCTGCATTTGACAACACTGTGCAGGTTTTCCTACCTGGCCAGACGGCAACTTCACCTCCCTGCACTGTAGAAACTGTACTCGCTCCCTCCTTCCATGCAGCATTGATCCCACGCCAACGCCAACTCCCATCATGCACCACTGCAGACTCAATACCTGCCCAGTACACAAAGTAGGACTGCACCACTGTGATGCTGCAACAGAGAACAGAGTTAGTGTAAATAAAAAGTAGAAAAATCTGCAAAACGCCAGTTTGGTTATAATATATGTACATTACAGTAATAACAACCAGGTCCAGTGTTCAGACTGAGACACCTGGATGGATGTAGAACTGATCTGGTGTCAGGTTCTAGCAGAACCCAGATGTGTTCTTCCTCCTAAATGTCATGTGTCTATCTGCTGTTCTGATGAAGTTCTGAGGCTCAGAAATGATGGAAAAAGTCCAATAAAGTGATCAATCTGGACCCTCCTCTGTGGACTTGAAGGACCTGGACCTCTGGAACATTCACAGTCTGAAGGTAGAACTCTGGTCAGTAGATAAAGGTGCTGCAGCTAGGTTCTGAGGGGGTTGGGGAGGACCTCTGTTCTGGTTTGGACCTGTTCAACTGTATCTAGACTCACTAGAACCGGATGTCTCCCGTCGGAACATCCGGAGCTCTCCACACAAACGACAGGTTTCTCTTCAGCTGTTTGTCGGAGTGAGTGACGGCGTCGCCCTCCGACAGGCAGTGCAGTTTGTGAGTGCCGGGTGGAGTCAGAGTCCAGGAGCCGCCAAC